CCTATTGGACGATGCTAATAACCCCCAGTGTGTGGATTGGATAACTATAATGATTATTTGGTTTTTACCGAAAACTATAAATGCCTGGCAGTTTTGTGCCATAACTGACACTGTTGGAAAAACATTCCGTTCACTTGTCTGCTGTCTCCTCATTTGCGACCTGGAGGGTTCTAGAGTTCGAGTGCTCAAGTTTTACGTGGTATATCAAGAATGTAAGTTTTAAATATAACAACTGGCGATGGGGTTATCTTATCAAAATGTCGTTTACTTTTGAACAATTTGAGGCCATACTGGAGCATCAAGAAAAACGTTTCGAACAGTTCAAGATTCGTATTATAGAGACACTAACCCAACAAATGAACCTGGATAAAAAGGGGTCACGGGTGACCCTTTCAAATCTCATGTTGACCATATCATTAATTCTATTCGCCAATTTAATTTCGATGGTTCAGTTGGCATTACTTTTGAAACCTAGCTCAAGAAATAAGTTTTCTTCAAGGTCGACCTAAAAGAACTTGATGACACCACCAAGGTAAAAATATTGCTAAAAAACTTGGCACGTCGAACATAAAGATTACAGTAACTTCATCCTTCCAAAGAATCTAAAAGATTTTTCTTTTGATGCGATGACTGAGATTTTATCGCAAATCTTTGCTGAACAGTCACCCTTGTTTAATACTCGTTATTAATGTCTCAAGATAACAAAAGCAGGTGATGATGACTGAGTGAAGCATGAGGGTTTGGCAAACTTTGAGTGTGAGCGACTCAAACTACCAGCAATGACAGATCAGTTTAGGTGTCTCGTGTTTGTGTGCAGCCTCAATCTTCTGAAGATGCTGATATTAAAACCAGAATTTTGAGTAAAATTGAACAGTGTCCGAATATAACACTACAAAAAATAACCATGAAGTGCCAGAGATTCATAAAATTAAAACACGATACTTCCATGGTTGAAAATAATAGTCGGTTGATACACGTTCATGTTGTAAGCGAAAAGAAAGATTCTTGCTCAAGAAAAGTATAGCGCACAGACAACCAACCCTCATCTTCTTGCTCGTCATGTGGAGGTTGGCACTATAAAAGGTTGTGCCCATATAAAGGACATTGTTGAGGTAAATGTCATCGGAACTGCCTTAAAAAAACAAGCTGAAGAAAAGAGCCCATAAACGACATTCTTCGAAACCATACGTCGAGAGATGCAGGCCTGGTGCATTAACTAACAAAATATTGGCATCACATAACCGAGCACGAATTTCACGCCAAAGCAAGTATGTTAACTTGGATATTAATAAACAAGGTGCCCGCCTGCACCTCGATACTGCTTTCGACATCATAATTATTAGCCGAAGAACCTGGAAGCACATTAAAAACCTCAGGTGCTCCCAACAACCCAGCTAGTTTATAATGCATCTGGAGTGAAATTAAATGTTGTTAGAGAGGTTTGTTGGACAGTTCCAAAAGGAAATGCGAAGATGAATGCAACATGATATCTCACTGAGAATCCAGAACTAGATTGTTGGGTCTATACCTAATAGAAACACCACAGTTAGCAAATCATTCTTTAAACCATATATTCAGCTTCGTGAGAACCAAAACAAGCGGAAAAGAATCTGAGGGATGTTGTGCTGGAAAGACATGGTTAAGTGTTTACGGAAGAATTGAGGGAATGTGAAAAGGTAAAAGCACCATTAATTCTTAAACCAGGAGTCCCCCTTCGTTTTTATGCCAAAACGTCCGTTACCCTGTGCAGCGCTTCCTGTTGTTGAACAAGAATTAGGGCGCCTATAAAGAAGTGGAATCACAGAATCAATGAATTTTCCGACTGGGCAGCACCAATAGTGATTGTTAAAAAGCCAAATAGATGTTTCCGAAAATGCGCCGATTATTTGACTGGATTGAACCAAGCACTTGAAGCCCATCAGTACCATTTGCCGTTACCAGAAGACTTATTTGCGGAAATTAATGGGAGGTGAAGTATTTTGCAAAATTGGACCTATCAGAAGCTTATTTACAGATCCCAGTAGCGGAGAAGTGTAAGCGTTACTTGAAAATAAACACTCATAAAGGGTCGTTCAGATATAACAGACTTTTTACCGGAGTAAGGACCACCCCTTCAATCTTCAAACAAGTTATGAATACTAAGCTACAAGGTATTCTTAGTACCGCTGCCTATCTAGATGGCATACTAATCATGGATACGGACTATGCCGACTTAGAGAATAAGGTGGATACGGTCCTCAGACGCATAGCAGATTATGTGTCCAGATTACGTGCTGAACAATGTTATTTTTACGTGGAGCAAGTTCGCTATTTGAGATTCATAATCGATAAAAACGGGAAAAAACCTGATCCTGAAAACGTCGAGGCTATCAAGTCCATGCATTCCCCACTGATGTATCGACTCAACATTTCTTCTTGGGAATGGTTAGTCATCTTGGCGTTTTTCTTCCAGATCTGCACCGCCTCTGTGCTCCTCTTAATGGGTTACTGAAAAAGGATACCATATGGTTCTGGTCAGTTAAATGCCAAGAAGCATTCCCAAACCTAAAACAGCTCTTATCATCAAACCTTCTGCTTAAACACTATGATCTAGATCTTCCAATTGTAGTCGCAACAGATGCGTCAAACTACGGAAGCGGAGCAGCAATTTCATATGCTTACCCTGATGCGTCTGGGAAGCTAATCACCCACGCAGCACGATTGCTGACTATGACAGAAAGGAACCACAGTCAGATAGAGAAAGAAGCCCTCTCTATTATATTCACTGCAAGAAAGTTCAACAAGATGCTGTTTGGCAGACAGTTCACCTTACTGATAGACCATAAACCACTACAGACAGTTCTTGAATCCAAGAACAGTATCCCTATGTATATAACTAACCGTCAACAGAGATGGGCATATACCCTCTCAAGAATAATTACTTCCCACGCAAAACAAGAAGAGGAGGTGCTTGTAGCTGCCGAAGATGGTGAGGCTGAGGTTCGCATAGTACTGGCAGACGCAGTTTCCGGAATGTCGGTCACATCCAAAGCCATTAAAGAAGGTAATGAGAAGGATAATGAGGCCTTCATCTAGACTACATGGAGGGTTCCTACAATATTTTTGTTTATGAGATTCTTCGAAAGTTGTTCATTTTACCGACCATCTCTTAATACAATTGACCAGGCTGAGATCCTCACGGACATATATTCCAGATCCAATAAATTTGCTTGAGTATCAGGTTTCTTTCTTCAGCCGAAACATAGGTAACTTTCAAGAGGAGGCTTTTCTGAGTATTTTCAGAAACCACCTTTATCCTTTTCTATAAAGCTTTACAGATGCCAAGTCTTGAAACTGTTCCTGGGAGCAGCTTTCTTATTAAGGACTTAATGCGGCTGATGTTGTGATCAAATTTAGCCTTTAGTTTCTTCTCGAAAGATACTCTTAACTTATGAAAAATGATTGACCTGTAAGCGAAGTCCGTCTTAACATGTGGAATTTTAATTTCTAGAATCTTCTCCTTCTTCTGTGTGTGACTATAAGCCAATCATTCACCTTATGTTTTCTCTTGATCACATCCTCTACACCTCTCAGACTTGGCTTTCCCATAGTCTGTTTTGCGTTGGTATGCGAATCCGGAACTGAAACCGAAGATTCACATACTTTTGCTCAGCCTACAATTTGTTTATTCTCAGCTTGCTTTTCCGTTTTCCTTGTAAAAACGCCTATATCGTTATGCTTGTTATCCGCCTTTCTAATGGAGTCTACCGTGTTGGTCCTATTCAAATCAAAAGCTGGACACATGATAACTCCCGCCGTTTCCTCGACAGCTGAATTCTGCACATCTACTGCTGCTTATTTACCTGAAGGCAACGTTCTAGCTATATTCAACAGTTAAATTGCCTAGAGAATCAGTAGAGACTTTATAAAACAGCATGCTTTGCACAGCCAACGTGATAGTGGCTTACGGCACCTTTTATATACAGCCGATGTGAGTCCAGTGCACACAATGTAATACCACTTATTGCCGTTGTCACAATGCATCCCATCATCGACAGGGGAATAGCATGTAGGTCTGTCACAACGATGTTTTACTTGCGTCAAACAGAGGAAATTGATCGAAAGATAAAGTATCTTTTGTAGAATCAAAGCTAACGTTTGGACTGAAGAATAACTGTCTAGGTAGGTTAGATACGCGCTATTGCCCATTCGAAACGCAAACAAGGTGATTGGGTAAATGACGGTTCTAGATTTCATTATAAATATAAATGTACATAATTACCTAAACAAATATTACCGCACAGTTATTCGATCAATAATTGTTCAGTCAGTACATAAATCCACACCACAATATATAAAGAAGTTGATAAAGGATGCAAAAAAATTACCAAGCGCCACAAATAAGTACTATTCTATCCTCGCTGGATAGATCACGTACAGATTCGTTCAAACGATAACATTTGGTTGCTTTATAACACAGTGTATCCCATTCTGGAAAAGTGCTTCAATTCACAATCAAAAATGTACGATTCCATTCATTGTAAGCACCACAATCAAATGGAGAACAAACCAATGTGGCTGCCATCAAGTCTAAGTATCAACTAAAACAACAAAAATTTAGTTCACAAAGAAACATGGAAGCTCAGTGAAAAATGAAAACTATAAAAAACACAAATATAATCACCTCAAATGGAATCAAAAAGAATAACAAAATGTATAGCCGAAGGAATCAATAGGAATAAATTACAAGTGTGTACACGGAGGGATTTTCACACAGAAAACCTTCAAAGTGGGTTACAAAATGACCTCAACACATGTGAATACAAACAATACTAATAGATATACTCGACGAGGAAAAATCCAGTGCCTTTCTTGTATCTGCACTCAAGAGGTACAGGTGAGTAACTTCTCCAGAAGAAGCAAGACTCTTGAAGATAACTTTACCTGAATCAAATTCAACCAAAGCAAAAACAACAATCACAAAATGATCAATACTAAAAAATATACTCAGAGGACAAATGAAACCGTCCTTTTTAAATAAAGGAATTACTATTTCATTTATCATGTATAATAAATTGCATTTTTTGTTAAGAATGGTGGCCTGATGTTTGTTTATACTTTTCAATAAAAATACGCAAGGCGCGCGAGGGTTCTTAGGCGGCATAACTTCGATGAGATTGACTTCATGTTGGTGCTTGTAAGTTTTCTCTCAAAATTTTCCTTCTAGTGTTTGTTGTTTTGTATGCTTACCTATATCTTTCGTAACTTTTTTTAAAGCCGAATCCATATCAGCTCGATTTAAGAGCTGGGCAATGCGCCATGTCATTCAATAGCTCGCAGTTAGATTGTGCTTCTCCCGATTTAGTGACAGTTATAGTTCACAGCCTTATGTGTCATCGACAGAGTGGAGAATCTGAAGAGTTTGCGAGACGCGCGATTGAGAGTCTTGTGAAAAAATTGAAAGAAAGGCAAGAAGACTTGGAATCCTTGGTAACTGCCATAACAACGAGTGGCAGCCAACCAAGTAAGTGTGTTACAATACAAAGAACTTTGGACGGACGTATGCAGGTATTGTGAGTCTTGTTATCACACTGTATGCTGTTGTTCAGATTGCTGGGCGGAAATGTCTTCCTCACATTATTTATTCACGAATATGGCGGTGGCCTGATTTGCATCGAAATGAGTTAAGACACTCCAAACATTGTTTATTTGGGTTTGAACTGAAACAAGATTGCGTGTGTATTAATCCTTACCACTATGAAAGAGTTGTTTCTCCTGTTGACTTGGCTGCTCTGAACCTTAGTCCTGCACCAGAAAAAGGAGGTAAATGTTTGTAATTTCTGACCGATACAATTTTTTTATATGTAATCCTTGTTAGTTATTCACAAGTATCTTATGCGATCCATGTTTTCAAAACACAGAATTTAATCAGGGTTTGCACTGGTATTTTGGCTGTCAACCATACAGTAGTCTCTCTAGTGTAGTAATAATAAATTAGTGATGCATTAGATGATCACAGAGATCTTAGATTTAGTACTGACTTTGTATCCAACATGAGACTAGTGTAACTACACAGCCAAAACTGTCCGTGTAACTAGCCAGTTACGGGAAACTCAACCTTACATGTGCATCAGTTGCTGTCAGCTAATTTGTCATGATAAATACCATACTGGTAAAATTAGTATTAACGGTAAGACTATATTTTATGGACGACCTTTGAAAGAATTTTTTAAGTGACCTTGAAACTATTAGCCAATCAGAAGAGAGTTGGTATAAAGTGACAACATATAAAAAACTTAAGGATTACAGCGGATATTCTTCTTTTACATGATTTAAAAACTTGTTAAGGTTAAGTAAAGGTTCAGATGTCCTGAAATCATAGTGCATGGGGTTAGGGTTAAGGTTAGGGTCTAGGGCTAGAGTTAGAGTTAAGGTTAGGGTGCACATCTGCAAAAGTAGCAGCCTATGTTACTGGTAACTTCATAATCCACTTTGCAACAATTATCATGATTTGCCTTAGTCTAAGTCGTGATCGAGCGAAGAAAGTGCCAGTTCGAGCAGATTTTATCTTCTAACATATTGTACAACAAAATCTAATGTCATCATGGTAGTCTGCACATCGTACTGCAGTCATTGATTGCCGCAGTCACAGATACAGGAACTTCCTAATAGTCCCATCTGTTGTAGTCACTCAAAAATCACCTCTTCCCTAAAATCTGCTGTAAAACGATCGGATGTGAGCGTCCCGTATTGAACTTAGCGCCGTGACCTTGAAACTCCACAAACGCTTCTGATTAGCTCGTCCATAAATTAGAGTCTTACCGTATTAACATAATTGAAAATGACACCAAACAATTTGAAAAGATGTTTTGAGAAAAGTGAGTTCTCCGGATAAAATACACCCAGTCTCCAATGAACGGTCATTATAATTTCATGAATTACAACTAGATAATCTATACCTACCAATATAATGCAAATCAACACTCAAGAGCTTTGTAGATCAATGCCTCGTTTTAGTTTAACCCCCTAACATACAACCTACTTCGCCACCCGCCATCGAGCGTCAATGTCGGCGGGATTTTAAACACACAACATCCTATTCACGTCGATCGGTGGAGAGTGAATATCTTGATATTAGGCTTTCCATGTATGCCCAACACTACCTAATGTTAGTTGTTCATTCATTGACTTCAGCTTACGCAAACACTTAGGGTATCTATTATCAAATACTGATGACTTGCAGACATCATTTATTTCCATAGTCCACGTTTCACTTCTAAGATTAGTAAGGTAGTCAACGCGTTTTTGTTTCTTATTTATTCGCTCTGGTGTTAACGGTCACCAACTATTCTCAGACCGACCAAATGTCTTGTAACAGTCCAAACATAATTGTATCTACCATTAGTCGATAAGGAAATCTGAAAAGTCAGTTTTCGTCCCTGTGAAATTATGTATATAACAAAGTGGGGTAGCTCGTCATATGCTTTGACTTGACCAGTGGTGTTGAATTAGAGGTTCCTGCAATCTATGTATATCTTCGATACACCTTGTCAAATGACAAACTGTCACAACTTCTAGGTCAACAAAGTTAAATGCTGCTTTCGTTTTAGGAAATACCGCTATTGTCGGGCGTTTGTAGGTATGTTTATGTTCTACAGTCTGACAAGGTGAATAATTGATTGATTACCAAGTGTGATTTCGCAGTGGTTTTGGTGAATCAGTTGTTTACTAGCTTTAGCGAATCGTTCTATAGTTTCAGAGGTGGTGTATCCTTCGAGCTGGATGGTTTAGTTAAGCTTTCACTGTCCTCCTAGACGGCGCCAGTTCACATTGAAAGAGGTAAACGATTAGGATTTCCCAACACTTGAACAACAGCTTGTCCTGTTGACCCACGTTTTGATCATAATTATGTCTTTATTTGCATCTTTGTTTTGGTTGTCTTTGCTAGTCTGATCTGTGGTTTTGTATGTATTTTTTTCCTATTTGGTTGGTAGGTTGGGTCGGTTTCGGTATATACCGGTTGATGTTTTTAAAAATTCCCGGGTTTTGAGGTCTACGAAATCTCAGTGTTCTCCTAGTTTATAACTTTCCACACTCATGAATATAAGTAAAAATATATAGCATTCGATAGCTCATAGGTGTTCACGTAAATGCTGGGAGCACGGCTACCTTGTATTATTCCTTAGAATTGTCTGTTTACTGATTTTATGTTGGGTTTGGTCATTATTTGACAAGGTTCTATAGGTAGCCATTTCTCCAATATTCGCCCATTAGGCATGTCTGTTGATTTCTTCATGTAGTGGCGGTACATTAGCATGTTTTACTATGGAACAGGCTTTTTATACAGCTCTATTCGTTTCTGTCATAATTGGCAGTTCAGTTAGCGTGGTTTGGTTTCCGATGTACACGAGCCTTAGATTTTTTCTCATTAGTTATGGTGATCAACACGTCAAAGAATGGTAGTTTGTTGCCTGGTTTCGTTTCTGATGTATATCATATGTCATCGATGACTTGATCAAATTGTAAGTGCTTTCCAGCCGGTCCTTTACGATTACGAAAAATGTAGCGCATTTGATTATTCGACCTGATTTTGACACCTAAAATTTTCGGCATCTGCTTTACTGCTCCTGCAATTAGTTCCGTAATCTTGTTATTGTCCCTCATGTTTGTATATTCTATTGTTCTGTTGGAAATATGTTGTTACACACCAGTTGATTAACTCAAATAAACGGTGACTGAAGTTGGATGTGTTCTGAAGGATTTGTATCGTTAGTGAGGGGCAACGATGTAGTGTTTTTTTGCTAACTTTGGTTCATCTGAGATAAAGCTGTGAGGATTATTGAGACCAATAATTTAACTATTGATAATCAAAGCAATTTCTCAGTGATCATCACAAAAACACTGTAAGTGTCATTACTGTTTAACTGGCATATCTCTTCAGATTATGTAGGCTGTTTATTATAACGGCAACGTTAGAAATCTCGATTATTTCGTCCTGCTATGATTTAGTTATTTCGGTACTTGCTTCAGGAATCTCGATCACTGAAATATGCGGATTTTTCAGAGTATCATGTTATTATGGAATATAATTTCAAACTCAAATATGCTGATTTTTCTAATGGGCTTTACATGTAAAATGCAGAATGTCCCATAAATGTACCCAATGTAATAAGCGAAAGGTAGATGGGTGCTTAAAGTATCAGAAGTGGATATTTATCTTTAGTAGTACTTCAACTGTCTTTAATATTTACGGTAGACACTAAACGAAATAGACACAGTTTTACTTTAGGATAGTCAGTACATTGGGATATCCTGATCAACTACAATTTGGTAGTTTGTCATTTCATTTTGGTTAACGCATATACACCATCCTCATTTATTGGGAAAAGGCATTCTGTATCTGGAAGAACTAATGTTATACTTTCATCTCTCGGATCTTCAGTTAAGTGTCAATTGGAATTTTCCTTCCTAAATAAATACCTTCGCAAACGAGGATCAAGGGAGAATAATCAAAATGGATCATACTAAACCTCTTTTTGGGTGTAAAAAGAGATTACAACAATTACATTTTCGGCTGTAGGCCATATTTCTTACGTTTCGTCAAGGGACCCAGATTGGTTCTTCTGATTAAATTAGGTTGAAGGGGATGTAAATACAATTTAGTCGATCATAATCCACGTGGTACAAATGTGGATTAGCCAAAGTTACCATACCACATCACGATATGATAAAATTAACAGGATTAATGGCAAGGTTCGAGTTATTTAATGGCATTTAGAATTAAAGTAACTAAACATTAAAAATATGGTTTGAGAAGATGAATTAAAAAAGATAAATATTCAAGAATTTTTCAGTTCGAGATTTAAAAGAAGATGAGTGAGTGTATGCTCGCAATACCTCCAACTGTGGTCTGATACCACCTTTAATACAAGGCAGTTCTTATCCATCCAAAGAGCAAAGCTTCAGTTTTAATAATTTTCTACACCGTAAGTCAGTGTAAAATAACTACAGTCATGAAACAAACATTTTCTTTTACAGAAATCTTTAAAATAAAACCCTCTTTCTAGTCTCGGGATTTTCGTCAATCGCACTATAATGTAATTATTCTTTATTTTCAGACATGTGTAGCGACACAGAAAGTGAATCCAACTGTCCGGACTCCCTAGTTTCTGGATTCAAGGGAGCTCAAATAGCTGATATGGGATCATGTTTGCCAGGAGATCCTATTAATGAAGGGAAGAATTGTAATTCCTCCGTCTTATTATCCACTCATCCTCGTCTTACTGTTCGTGATCTTCTTGGTGAACATATATCTCACACAGGTAGTGCTATTTACTTGTTAATATTTGTATATAATACCAAAATCTTGGAATATGTGAAATGGTTTAAGGCTAAAATCGCTTTTGATTAGTGATATGAGCAGGAGTTAAATCCAGTAGTCAGGTTTTTGGCAGATGAATAACTTAAAAAGCTGATATCCTTTAATCGTCGTTTTCCTGCCAATAACTTGCATATAAGCATGTTATTTCATTAGATTAGAAAATCTATTCTTCAGTGGTCTTGTCTTTGATATTCAGTCCTTTCGTAGCTTTAAATCCGCATTCCAGTTTTGTAAGCAGCAGTCACTTGGCTAGGTCACATCATTGCATCATATCTGTCTATCAGGGTTCTATTTATTCACTTTTAATTCCTGACGACTTCGTTCATTCACCAAATCACAATCTACTCGATTTTAAAGATTGTCAAAAGCCATACAACTATAATAGTTTCTTTAGATATCTGTTGTACATACTGTTTATTATCAATAATAATGTCACTAGTTCTGGTGAAGCCCAAAAGTTAATTAGTTTGAGGTATAATGATTTGTGATACCACTCAATCCATTGTTAAAAATAGTTATCTTTGAAAACAGGTCAAAGTTATTTCAAACCGTAGGATTCAATTACCACATTGTCCCTCGATTCAAATAAACTCGGCCAATTTAAAACCGAGTATAGTATTATCTGATCATTCGCTTTCTCCTAACTCTAGCTTCATCGTCCTCTAGTGACGAGTTTTCTTGGATTACAAAGCGATCAGAAAATATCTCGGTAAGTTCATCTGTACCTTTGCGTGGCTGGATTGTTTTGATCTTCAAGCACAAATCAGTCTGATTCTTCTAAAATATCTTAGTTAAAGATTGGTTTATGTCTAGACCTTCTTCAAAGATAAGTAAGGAAATTATTATTTTCCTGGAAACAATTTTTGTGTGCATTATTGTTCCTACTTGTCCAATATTTTATATATTCGTCTACCGGCTTCTGAATTTATGACCCAGTAAGAATTTCCCATTGCTTGAAATCAATGGCCTGTGTTCTATCAATCAGTCTTATGTCGTTTGACGGGAGACTTCAAGATTGTTTTTCAAATATTTTGACATCTTATATTCATATTTTTCTTCAATAAGAACAGTTCAGATTTCGTGCTTTTTATAAGACTACTTCGTTGTTAATAAAGCCCTGTTTAGTGATAAAGCTACCTTTCTTTTCAGGTTGCTCAAAAAATCAAGAGTGTGATTTGGAACAGACTCCTTTATTATCCAACTCACAAATCGATTCGTCTCCAGCACTCTCATCAAGCATTTCGATATCGAGAGTTAACCCAGCTCCACATTTGGATAGAGGACAGAGCACTATGGCCTGGTCAGGTATCGCTAACCAAAACCATCCAAATACATTTATTCATTCTGCTACTAACTTCTCGAAAGACAGTTCCATAGAATCGGAAAACACGTGTGTAACAGGATATTCGAAAGTGATCCCTGTGAATTTGCCTACGATTAGGACGATGGATGTTTTAAAGTGTACGATCGATCCGCCTATTATTTTTACGCCAGTTCAAACCAACAGCCTTTTAACAAGTAGTTTCGTTCCAAGAGCATATTCTTCAAACGCAACTCCAGTTTGTCTATCAGGCAACACTAATGGTGCTGTAAATAATAGCTCTAATAAACGTCCTGGTGGCTCTTCAGGAACTGCGGGTGGTTGTAGTACTGGAGGATCTGGTTTTGGCAGCGGTGCACCATGTAGTGGAGTAGGTGGTGCGGCTGGAGCTGGTGGTGGTGGGTGGGGCAATCGTAGGGGTCCCCCTGCCCCACCATTCACTCCTTCTGGATCTCTACTCCAAGTAAGCTTTTATTCGTTTTTTTAAATATGGGGGTGTTTGGAGTAGTTATAATGTTCTTAGCAGTGAGCTAGGGTTGTGTTTCTTACGGTTATAATTACTTTTGGGGACTATACTTTGCAGGTGGTACTGACAGTCTACTCCTAATATTTCATAGTTATTTGGTCTCACTTGTTCAGGCCAGGATATACTGCTAAAATATTGAGCTTGCTACTTCTAGATTCTTAGCTTCTAAATAGCAAAGAATTGAGTAATACCAGTTAAGGCCTTAATTTAAAATTAATTTATGGAGAAGCTACTTATAAATAAGACCAGTTGGTAGTTGCTTATGTACAACTTGTTCTAGTATTATCGAAACCGATCGACGGGAAAGTACATCTGTGGACTGTTTTGTGACAAAATAACTACGGTAGTAATCCTGATCTAAAGTTTTTGTAATTGATCAAATTTTCATAGTAATTAGTCAGTTTCAGAATCTCCGTTAACTATGAAACTTGGGACATTTCTGGTGTAACGACTCATCGTTTAGATGTTGATTATAGGACTATTTAATTTAATGATACTAAAAAATTATTTATTTAAACACATAAACATTGGTACAAGGAGGCACCAAATAGATATGCGCCACATAAATCATTCGATTTGTGTGAGAGCTGGGATACTGCTCGGGCGCCCAAACCGAAGCAGGTGGTTTTCTTAGGGGGCCACACACGAAGCCTTCAACCTAAAGATCTGATCCATAAGGCAGTGGAGCAACGTAAGGAGATACAGTCCCATAGTAGCCGGTGACTAACGATTGGTGCACACGCCATTTGTTCCTTCAGGATACTAGAGTCCATGTGCACCATTGGTTTTAAATCAGAATTTCCCAACTCCCTTAGGTAGACTCCGTGTCCACCAACTCGGTTAAAGCGCTGGACATTCGCTTTTGGTCCTCTCGATTCCGTAAATAACACTGCCACCAGCGAGTAGGGCTTCCCTGGCAGTGATTGTATGCACGTGGCAGCATTTGGAGAGGGAGAGAGGACTCTTTTCACTCTCAGCATTTGAGGGCAATTTAATGATATTATGAATGTTATAAATTTCAACTGACTGAGAACAGTCAGATCACACTTTTCAGGTATTAATTTGTTTATCCCTGTTATTCTATTAACGTATTACAGAAATTAATTTTGTGTAAAATCAGTAAGAATTGTGTTATGTAGTGCTACTAAGTTGTATTTAGTTTCGTCGTTTACATACTACAGAGACTTAGTTCGTTTTCTATATTTGCAGCCGTTGCCAGTCCTAACTACACAACGTCCTCCTGAATACTGGTGCAACATTGCTTACTTTGAACTGGACCAACAGGTCGGTGAATTGTTTAAAGTTCCAAGCCAGTATTCACGTGTCACCGTTGACGGTTACACGGATCCTTCTAGTCCAAATCGTTTTTGTCTCGGACAACTATCAAATGTACACCGGTAAGTTCAGTTCCTCACTTTCGTTGAACAACTAGTTCACTTAGTCATTAGAGGACTTAATCGGATTCTTTTTTGTTTACTTTCCAAGGCTAATACTTAACAGCTCTAATATTTCAGTGCAACTAAATTATCTTGTAAAAGTTCATGCACTGAAATAAGAGCATTTTTCCACAAGTGGTTACTAATGGTCCTATTCGGTTATTCCGAGCAAAGGTTTTAAAGTTGGTTATTTTGATCACTAAAATACTGTTCCATACATATCTGATAGTGATTCCATATTGTTGCAAACTTATCAGCAGATGTAACTCATGGAAATATTGATTAATCATTTCCTTATACCACCAGTTTTCTAACTGAAGTTCATTACACTATCGTGGTTGTAATCGCAATGGGATATAGTAACGTTTACCCCCAAATGCCCTGGTATGGCCGAGAGTGGGGTGGGTTCGCCCTCCCTCTCGAAATGCTCTCACACGGCCACGCGTATACAGCCCCTGCCAGGGAAGTCCTACTCATTGCCTTCTCGTGGCGGGGGTGTTGGCTACGAAAATGAGAGAACGAAAAGCGAATGTCCGGCGCTTTAACCGGATCCCAAACCAATGGTGCACATGGGTGGTGGCAACTCGAACTGATGTACGTACGTACGAAGTTCTACGTTGTTACTGACTGACTGACTGGGTGCACATGGGCTCCAGTATCCTGCGGGAACAAATGGCGTATGAACCAATCGCTGGTCACCGGCTACCATGGGTATGCATCTCCTCACGATGTTCCACTGCCTTGTGGATCAGACCTTGAGGTCAAAGGCTCAGGGAGTGGCCCCCTAAGAAAACCACGTGCTTCGGTCTGGTCACCCGGGCAGTATCACAGCCCACTCACACAAATATGGTGTGGCGCATATATATTTGGTGCCCTCGTACCGATATTTATGTGTTGAAATAATAATAATAATAATAATAATACTAATAGTAATAGTAACGTTTTTGTAATTTTAAAACTTTATGTTCCTGTCACTGTCTCAACTGAGGAATCGATTGGAGTTTATATATGATAATTACCTAGTTGCTTAACTGTTCTCCACATAACTCAACCCAATGTACATTTGTGCTTGACTCCTACGTTAATTATGACTGACCATGGATTTCAGGAATCCACCTATTCCTGCATACCTTAAAATGGTGGAGACCTAATATCTCTGGAAAGTCTGCCAGCAACATGTATGTTTCGTTCAGAAGTCAAGTTAGTTCGATGTAATTTGAAGCAGATTTTGTAGCTGCAGATGTCAGGGACTAATCTCTCATGGTTTGGATAACAAAGGTATTGATAAAATTATTATTTCACATTACAATGATCTGGCGAAACATTTCTCATTTTAAGTTTGACATAAACGTTTGTTCAATAGTGACAAGAACGCTTGGTACAATAAAGCATCAGAAAATATTCCACACATTTTTATTGTCTAATCGACCTGTTTCCACTATTTTATTAGTAGTATTTCGAAAATTCCTAGTAAAAACTGAAGGGAAAATGTACTAACCGAAATATCCATGTTGTTCCGCCCTGTCCTTGACAAATAGCCCGGAGTTACTTCTGAATGTTGATACTATTCTAGTTTCATACATTAGATTTTCAGTCGAAATCTCGTTTTTCAATTTGGGTAACTTCGTAGTATTATTCGATCTTACACAAGTGTAGTTCAGGGTCAGGTATATTGGTCTACACTTGGTTACTTAGTTACACTACTGATACTTGGCTCCACATCACTCTAATATTAATATCACATTACTGGGATGATTTCTGTAAGTGTAATGACCTTGTCGTCACTTCACTCCATAATGTAAAGTGTATCGTCCCATGTCTTTATTTCAACTTATGTACGTATATTCCCTTTGTTTTCCGTCTTTTGTAACCCACTTTTCTTATTTTATCTTGTGCTGTCAAAAGCAGCTTTCAACATTAAGGGTATCGAACAAATTATTCCTCTCTTTAAGCATTAGTTTCATACTTTTTTGTAGCTTTTATTTGATAGTTTATTTTTAATAAATGAGTAGTCAAGTTTATTGGTTATTTTAAAGCTGATTATCAATTATAGTAATCTTGTGACTTAGATGGGTAAAATCTCATCTTTCAGTTTTTGTATTCACGGCACACCAAAATCCTGACTTGTTTGGATATTTATTTATATCAAGTTTTTCGTAAGGTGAAGCAGTACACTCATCTTGCAAGACACTATTTAAGGTGGCTTACTTTAAAACTATTAACTAGGTACGAGTGGTTTGTGAAAGTGACTACCAAAATATAGCAATCAGTGCTTATGATTCAAGTCATCCTAAAGTTTTACAAATCGCTCCAATGTATTATCATCGGAATTGATTTTTAACACTAGTTGCTGGTTCTGAACACATTTTTGGAAATATCTTCGTAAACAATACCTTACGTTACTGACTAGATTGTACGGAATATTCGGTAATACTCACATAAGCAATAGAAGTGAATTTTCGATATTTAACAAAGCGGTTCTTGACTGTTATTTCGGCGGATATCTTGTGGTTTGATAGGTTAATCTTTGGTGTGCTACTAAATGAATAAAACTGGGTATTATTTTAAACAGGTCGGAGCAATCCGAAAAGTCGAGACTTTATATTGGCAAAGGTGTAGAACTAGATAACGTTGGAGAAGGTGATGTTTGGATTCGCTGTCTTTCAGAGTTCTCTGTATTCGTACAAAGCTATTATTTGGATAGAGAGGCTGGCCGTGCACCTGGCGACGCTGTTCATAAAATATATCCTGGCGCTTATATCAAGGTATGATGTCAGTTTTAAATGGTGCGATATGTAGAATTTATTATATCAACTGGTTCTCATCCTAATTTAATAAAATTTCCTCTGAGTAATGTTTATTGGCTACAATATCAAACGCGCGCTTCTTTTTAACGATACTCACTTGGTTGTATTTATGAGTGGAATTCTTTGGTTGCAACTTCACTAAAACTTCCGGACAGCAGTAATTGCTTAAGTTAATCTTTTCGGAAAATTATATTAATCATTTACTTTTTTCTTATGACGAGTATTTTTTTAATCTGATATTAGCTAAATCTAAAAGTGGTTGTAAAATTGTTCCGGTATTATAAGTTTATTGTAACTTATTTTTCATATAATATTTACTCGATTTTTATTTCCTATGATCATACTAGCTTGTGTAGTTTTCATTTTCTTCTAATACTAGGTTTTCGATATAAGACAGTGTCATGAAGAAATGAAATCCCTTGCTCAGTCTTCTCACGCTGCTGCTGTCCGACAAGCTGCGGCTGTTGTTGGGTCACCTACGACAAGCGATTTATTGTCTCAGATACCTGGTGCCCTACCTCTAGGTTCCAACCAATCTGCTCCAGGATCTTTACCTGGTACACTAGGTACAGGAGCATCTATTATGGCTACTGCTGGGGTCGGGGTGGATGATCTTAGACGTCTTTGTATGCTTCGGTTGAGTTTCGTTAAAGGATGGGGACCAGATTATCCTAGACGTAGCATCAAAGAAACACCTTGTTGGATTGAAATACAGTTGCACAGGTATGACTTTAAAATTTATTTTCCTACAATAATAAACCAGTACCGTATAGGCGTGAACAAATTACTACCATCTTATAACTAACTACATTCATGGTTCCATGTTATTTTGAAAATTAGTTTAGAGAACTGAAATGGACGGTTTGAAATTGTAGAGTTTGCTTAGTATACACTGGAAATATTTCTCGCTCTTTGAAGGATTTTTTAACCTTTGGTCTCTTTACTGTTCACTGTCTTGTTAATTATGGTGAATGAAACTACACAGATGTGTATAATTCTAAGTGGATGCACTGTAGTTAGGTAAAATATAATACCTCTAAAGCTGGAAGGAATTAGATTTTTGTTGTGAATTTCAGAGATACCACTAAAATATCATAAAAACCATAAATCTATGTAAACCTACCTTGAAAATTCTGTTTTACTTTATATCGCTAATAGTTGTCAACTACTTATGGTCTCTTCCGTTTTCTGTGTTGTTTCCACTTTTTTTTCAGACCTCTACAATTGCTGGATGAAGTTCTCCAAGCTATGCCTCTTAATGACTTAAAACCAACCCGACATTTCTTTTCTTATTTTCCACAACCATCTGGATGCAACTCAGTGAGACCAGCAGCAACCAAACGTGTATAAGTTGCTGGGACTAAGATATTTCTTCTTTTTTACTTCAAGATTTCAAACGTTTATTTTAACTAATCTATTTCCTGTTTACTTTTAAATCCTTTGTCGGTAGTTTACTGCATATTTTTTAGTTGATGCACTGTAACTGATTGCTTTTTATCCAATTCTTTTTTCTTACTTTGTAATGTCTACTATTAAATTCTGAATACAATAGTCATGGTTATTGTTTTAACAATTTAATACACATCAGGTGACTTTTAATATTTGTTTAAAATTTTTGTACGTATCCATTGCCACTTACCTAACATTTAGACCTCAGAATGTTTTAAACTATAATTCTCTCTATATTGTACAACATTGTTTATAAATATCATTTATGCGCCTTCTATCAGGTAAGTTTAATATCACTTTTTTACTATGTACCTACATCATGTGTACAATTGTTATTTTTGCCTTTTTTTTCAAAAAAACTTGTCCACAGCTGACTGATCTGCTTTAGGTTGTCTATGTGCAAAAGATCACATCATTGCTTTTTGCTTTTCTTATTTATAATTGTAGTACAACAAGTAGTAATAGACTTCAATCTATTTATAAAGATTGAAGTATAAAACCTTTGTAAGTTATTTGTTGGATTTTATCCATTCATCTATGTAATAGATTACTTTGTAAATCATAAGTTTATTGTCCTCCATTTTGTTTGGTTTTATTTCTTCTATTTTTCTCTTATTTAAGTTTGTTAGGTTTTAGGAAAACAAATAATTAGGTTTCTTGTTTCCAATTGCCTGAACCCATTTTTTCCTTTTCTTTGCATCTATGTACTTGAATAAAACCCTCTAATATAATGTTTTAACTCGGTATCTGTTTAGATTATTTTTGCTATCTAGCTATATTTGTACGATCATGACTGTATAAAATGGCTGCTAAATCATTTTCAAATAGTGAACCGTATTTTAGGTAACTGATTAGTTTCAGCATAAGTTTAACAGAATAATTCACATCATTCTTTTAATTCCATTTTAAAAGAAGAATTGCCATCTATTTCGTGTAATTCGAGTGCAGTTTTATTCGTGAGTAGTCACCACATAAAAACACTTTGTTCCTTCTGTGAAATGTAGAAAAAATAGAAAATTCCGAGATGATGCAAAATCACTTGGGTTGAAAAATAGGCTTGCAGTTATAAAAATACTAGTAAATGATTATGTTTGTAAACTTAAAGGCTATTGAGGCTTTCCTCTGGGTTAAACCCGGTTAATGAGTTAGTTTGGTGTCTGAAAATAAAGGAAACTATGTGGGTAAAATATGCCTAAATTAAATGAGAAAACTTATAAATTAAGATCAATATTCACTTTCATATTCTCGTACTTTATATTCTTTCTAATCACACCTAGCAATGTGTGTGCTTAAAAAGGTAAATTTGAATGCAGTCATACGAATATACCGCTGGAAGAATTTTTCGCTGAAAACTACTAAAAATGATGGCCGTAACACTTCAAATAACAGTTTATCTGCTCTTTAGTTTCCTACATTTACCAAACAACCTTATTGGAATGTAAACATAAATTACTGAATCTTGAAGTTGAGAAAGCCATAGATAATCTGAAGTGATCGACAACAACGGATCCTGATACGTTTACCCCACAAATATTCAACGATATTGGTCCAATTTCACCTGATACATTGACTGTAATATTAGCAAGAATATGGAAAGTGAACGTAACCTCACCAGACTGGTCTCGATCACAGATCATTCCAGTGTATTAGGAATGACACAATTCCTGTTACGATAACCATTGAGGAATTAGCTAGACTACAATTGTGTCAAATGTTTGCCTGAATAGACCGACTGTTCACTGTTTCCTGTCAGATTCTGGAACACAGATATGAATACCGACTTTTAATTATAGTTGTTTCTCTCGTTCTGAAGACAGCATTCATCTTTGTTGATTGAGAGATTCTGTGTAAGTGTGTGTCACTGAATGGCGTACTGAAGAATTAGGTTAGTCGTGTGCAGACTATTTTAACACTAGTGTTCGAATGGGAAATCATGACAAACTTTTATTAGAATTTGAAAATATTGAGTGATTGTCATCAGAGTTGTCCACTTTCCTCATTTTTTCTTGATTTTGTCATAGATATCGCCCAAAAAATGACGTTCAACTTTTCGCTTATCGACTTTGACTTCTTTGATTATATACTCTCGGTTGATGAAGATGCTGACAAAATGTAATCTTATGACCATCTTCATCAACAATTCAAGCATGTTTGGTATGAGATTATCTCACACTTAATACAAAATAATGCTTCATTACTGATATACATTGCCTTTGGAACTAGTGATAAGGAAATTTTGGGTGCTTCTTTCATCTTGGAATTGTTTTTAGTCCTTGGGGGTTTGTGTCTGACGGAAGCTTGTTGTCAATGTGTCACTTCTGTTGTCGGCGAGATGTCCGTCTGCCAACTAAAGAACAAGTATAACGTGGACCAGTTCGCTCCATTCTATTCGTAGGTTATTAGTAGTCATTCATTTCCCGACCGTTGTTGCTACCTTGACGTGGTGGTCGGGCTTGCCTATCGTGATGAAGCAACCGAGCTATACTGGCTGGAACAACCGTTTCTCAAGGTCCTACCATGTCAGACAGGTCGGTTGAAGAGCGGTAAGACTAAAAACAACAAACCCAAGGTCCGAAGGCGAAGTCGTACTGCTGACTGTACAGAGGTGTGACAGCAGTAAGGTGTTTCCTTCAGACAACCAGCATGACAGCGATGCTGCCTTCCCACAAGGAGGGGTGGGGTTAGAAAAGGTCGACCCTAAAAATGCACACCTCACCTTACCTCACGGATTTCCGTCTCCGGCGGTAAGGCCCTTTGAAGAACGGAGCTAACACGTCGAAAACCTTCCACAAAAATGCCGTGCGCGACCGGCCTCAAGCAGTTGTCCGTTGGGCACTGCGGTCACGCTCTCAGGTCACTGAGACCACCTCTAATCCAATTTCCTTTTCAGGTACCTCCAGAAGAACCCTTCCACGGTGTGGGCAACCGGGAAGTGATAAGCGCCCTCATACCTCTAACAGCACCCAAGACCACTGTATTCATAATCAACCTTCCTCTTCAATTTCTATTATTCCTCCTACATCGACTTTCAACCCTAAACTTCCTCCTTCGGCTTCCTCCTCAAGTGTCACCATAGCCAACGATTCTAGTGCATGAAGCACTGTCCCAGGTCTACTGAAATCTCGCTCCAAACTACACATTGGAGCCTTCAACGTACGCACCCTATGTCAAATCTGTCAACAGGCTTCCTTGGCTAGAATCCTAGGATCTCGTAACATTGATGTATGCTGTGTCTCCGAAACACGCATACAGGATCCCAGTGTGGTCATTCACTTGACCTCACCTCGGCAAAACGGAGAGCCAACGAGATACACCCTTCGTGTATCTGGTGACCCGATGGCCAGTTCTCGTGGACTGGCAGGTGTAGGCATAGCACTAAGCATGAGGGCGGAACAAGCACTGCTAGAGTGGATCCCCGTCAACAGTCGTCTATGTGCTGTTCGGCTGAACAGCTACGTAAGAACTCGGAAGGATAGGGACACACGTCGTTGCCTTTTTGTCGTTTCTGTCTACGCTCCCACTGACTGCAGCTCAGATGAAGTGAAAGATGGATTTTACAGAAAGCTTTCTGAACTTCTTCAGAAGGCTAAACGCTCAGGCATAGTACTCGTAGCAGGTGATTTTAATGCTCAGATAGGTAGCTTAAACCAAACAGAAAGGCATTTAGGTGGATATTTTAGTATTCCGACACAGCGAACAGATAATGGTGATCGTCTGCTGCAGCTATGCTCAGACAATCGTTTATTTTTAGCAAACACAAATTTTAAGCATAAGGAGAGACATCGTCTAACATGGCGACCCCCTACACCAAACCAACGATGGACTCAAATAGACCATATTGCCATCAGTCATCGTTGGAGAGGGTCGGTAGAAGATTGTCGCTCATTCTGGAGTACCTGCTTGGACTCCGACCATGCCCTAATACGGGCACGCATCTGCTTGCGCCTCACTGGACGCAAAATGCCACATTAAAAAGACCCGTTAGAACTGAGTTGAGTAACGAGAAAACCAAAAGTAGGTTCCAGGAACAACTGAGGTCACACTTAGGTAGTTGTGAAGACGAGGCTGACCCAGATGTTGCTTGGAAGGGCATACAATCAGCTGTGGAAACAGCAGTGACATCTATTAGTGACTTAAACCACAGAGTTGCAAGGAACCAGTGGATTTCTTCAAGGTCTGTCACACTGATGGATTCTCGCAAACTCGTCCCAACAGGTTCTGAACATGATGAAGAGCGTAAACAAATCAGATCTAGGTTAAGAAAAAGTCTAAGGAACGACCGTGAGCAGTGGTGGGTAACGAAAGCAAAAGAGATGGAAAAGGCGGCGACTATAGGGAACACAAGACAGCTTTACAGACTAATAAAAGAAACTGGAATTAATAAGTCAAGTGTAAGTGAGATTATATCAGAAAAAGATGATACTCTCATCTGCTCCCAGTCCAGACGTTTAGAACGATGGGCGGAACATTTCAGAGAACAGTTCAGCTGGCCTTCAGCTACTCTACAACTACCCTCCATTCCCAGACAATGTGAATGGAACATTGAAGTAGGTCCCCCAACTCTTGCTGAAGTTCAAAAGGCTATAGTTAATCTGAAACGAGGAAGGGCAGCTGGTCCAGATGGATTGGCTCCAGAGGTCTTTAAGGATGGTGGTCCAATTTTAGCGATTAGGTTGACTAATATTTTAGCTAAGATCTGGGAGTTAGACTTTATCCCATCTGACTGGTCGCAATCACTCATTGTCCCAATATATAAGAAAGGGTCAAAATCATCCTGTGACAACCACAGAGGGATTAGTTTAACAAACATAGTATCTAAAATACTGGCCTCGATAATTATCAGACGCCTAACTAAGACTCGTGAACTACAAACTCGAGAGAACCAAGCTGGCTTTAGACCTGGTCGTGGCTGCATCGACCACATATTCACCATTCGTCAGGTTCTAGAACACAGGCATACCTATCGGCGTCCGACAATGGTGGTCTTTCTTGACTTAAAAGCAGCGTTTGACTCTGTAGACCGCGAGACTCTGTGGCAGTGTCTGTCATTGAAAAGCGTACCTCAGAAGTACATAAACCTTGTGAAGGCTCTTTACTCGAACACTACTAGTCGAGTCAGGGCTTATGGCGAACTGTCATCTACTTTTGCAACTTCAAGTGGTGTCCGTCAAGGCTGTCCACTTTCTCCATTTTTGTTTAACTTCATCATAGACCTATTGATGGAAATAACACTCTCGTCGACTGAATTCTCGGGTATTGATCTCCTTCCAGGAGGTCCACTTATCGACTTAGAATACGCAGATGATATAGTCCTGTTTGGTGAAGACGCTGATAAAATGCAGAGTCTTTTGGTAGCACTGAGCAACAATGCCAGAATGTTTGGGATGCGCTTCTCTCCCTCTAAATGCAAGTTGTTGCTTCAGGACTGGTCTGCGTCAACACCTGAACTAAGGATAGGGAGTGAAGTAGTCGAACGCGTTGGCAACTTCACTTATCTTGGAAGTCTGATCAGCCCTAATGGGTTGGTGTCTGACGAAATCTCATCACGGATTCGAAAAGCTCGTTTGGCTTTTGCCAACTTACGTCACCTTTGGCGGAGGCGAGATATCCGTCTATCAATAAAAGGACGAGTATACTGCGCGGCAGTCCGTTCTGTCTTACTTTACGGCAGCGAAACATGGCCTTTAAGAGTAGAAGACACCCGTAAGCTACAAGTATTTGACCACAGATGCCTTAGAAATATTGCTGGCATCTGCTGGGATCACCGGGTAAGTAATAGTGAGGTTAGACGCAGGGTATTAGGGAATGATGGTAAATCAGTT